TCCTCCTACATCTGTTTCTCTCATTATTGTATTGATTTCCTGGGAAGTTTTATTTGTTCACAAGCTATGAGTTCTTCCAGGAAAAGATGGGAATTAGATCAGTTGCAGCATGTGCCTGAACTTGATTTTTAAAAACAAAATCCCACAGGACATTTTAACATTTAACAGTAATCTGTTATCTTCATTTTCCCCACCCATTTTTTTTTTTTCAAAGGAACATTCTAATTGATTTTTGGGGTGTTCTGCAAAAATCTTTAAACCAAGCTCTGAAGGTTACTTTTCCTTTAACAGATTCACAGGGCAGTGAAAATCTTTCCAACCTTTTCAGAAGCCCTGTAGGAAACTGGTTGACTAGAGGAATTCTGAAGGACGGATCTGTTTACTTTGAGTATTTATGTTTTATTTTTATTTCCCCAATTTGTTTACTAAAAGTGATGAATCTAGCCTATGAAAATTAAAAATCCTTGTATGTAATGGGCGGAATCCAAGAATGGTTTTCACCTTCCAGCAGCAGGACTGGGCCAACTTAGTCCTTTCCTCCTGTCCCACTCTGAAAGTTTGGGAGACCACCCACAGCAAAGTTTGAAGGCTCCTATGGGTGTTGCAAGGTAGAGGAAGGGGGTGGGGGGAAATGTCCTGTGAGCAGGAAATCTGCTCCTGCAATGTGATATTTCACCCATGTGGTAAGAAAGAAACTTAATGATCACAGCTGAAGTCTCATTAAAGTCAAATATTGTAATCATCACTATCTATGTAGAACCAGTAAAAAGGGCTGCCTGGGAATCTTTCTATGGAAAATTTATTGCCACCAATGGAGAATATCCAGTGTTGTTTTGGCTGATTGTCTTCATATGCTAAAAGACATGATAAATGGTAGATCACCTGCTAAATATATAAATGATCTATGGGCCTAGCATCTGCAGACAATTAGCTATTACTACCTAATATGCTAATTGGTCACAATGGGCCAATTGTCTAGCCAGAAAAGTAACCTGGAACCATAAAATCAACTGAATATCTTCTGTCTATATTCTAATTCCCTTTGCTTTTGGCATTATAGGAATTGTAGCCTAATATGTTTAGAAGGCACCAAATTGTGGAAGGTCAATATAGGAACAGCTTCATACAAAGCAGTCTAGATTAATTGGTAACAAATAAAAAACATTTGGATGTTTGAATGTGAAATCATACAATAAGAAAATTCACTTTTGGAGCCAGCTAAAACTTTTGAACTGTCTTCCTGGGTAGTCACATGTACATTGCATTACAGTAATCCAGTCTTGAAAAGATTAGGTCATTCATTTGGATATATTGGTTGGGCACAGTGGGAGCTGTATTTCAGAAGCAAATGGCTGTAGGTTTCCAAATCTATATTAGAAGAATACTCAACTTGTGAAACTGAAATACTTTGGTTAACTTTCCTTTTTTATTCACTAACTTAGTAATGACAAAGGAAAAACAGCTTGTTTTTTTCCACAAAGACGTTTTATTACTAGACAATGAAACATGGGGGCGGGGTGATAGTGGTTGGTGGAGATTTCTACTGATTCATATCTTGTAATTTTATTCTTTTTTTTCTTCCTAGTTTTTTGGGTGGGGCATTGTTTCTTCTGTGATTGTTCTACTATCTGGTGATAGTTTCTGCTTATCTGGAGATTAGTTAATAGCTGTATGATGAGGAAGGATGTCTGTTTGTAAAGGTCTAAGCTTACGTAACTCATCAAACCTGGTAGGCCAAGCTACAATACATAAAAACAACCAGCTAACTACTTGCCCATGCATTGACAATGTTACCTAGACTGGTAATAAAACATCTGCAGGAAGAGAAGCAAGCTCAGAGAATGCCAAGGACCCAAATGCAAATGATTGAGTGAATAAATAAAAAATGTGTCTCAAAATTCCAATAATGGAGGAAAAGATAAAACCATCCATTCCTACTTGTTGATATTGGTCAGCCTTCTCTAATAGCTTCTATTTCATTTTTCAAATGTACCTGTAGACTTTATAAGTCTGCACCTTATATGCTATAGCAAACTAGTTCTCAAATTAGCTGTTTTACCCCCAAATTTTGGTTGTCTGATGGAAGGATGGTCTAGAAGGGCTAGCCATGCATTGGGCATACCTAAGATGGTCTAGAATAGCTAGCCATGCATTGGGCATACCTAAGCTTGATTATGATGATTATGTGCCATCAAGTTGTGTTCTTCTTAACCACCACATAAATAGATGACTGTTGCACTATAATGCAATATTTTTAGTTTTGGCTTACGTGTTATGTGATCTCAACCTGTCCTAACAGACAGGAAACAGCAGGTGAAGCTAGGCAGAATCACATGATACCTGTATAATTAGCACAGGTGGCCTCCAAGGCTGTGTGCTTTCTCCACTTTTCTTCTCCCTGTATACCAATGTCTGCATCTCAAATGATCCATCTGTTAAACTATTGAAGTTTGCAGATGATACAACAGCGATTTCTCTCATTTGAGACAATGATGAACCCACATACAGAGGGGAGGTTGAACAACTAGCCTTGTGGTACAACCGGAACAATCTGGAACTGAACACACTCAAAACCATAGAAATGATGGTAGAGAAACCCTCCCATACTACCACCTCTTACAATACTGGACAACACAGTATCAGCAGTAGAGACCCTCAAATTTCTAGGTTCTATCATATCTCAGGACCTAAGATGGACACCTAACATCAAAAACATCATCAAAAAAGCACAACAAAGAATGTTCTTTCTGCGCCAACTCAGAAAACTCAAACTGCCCAAGGAGCTGCTGATTCAGTTCTACAGAGGAATTATTGAGTCTGTCATCTGCACCTCTATAACTGTCTGGTTTGGTTCTGCAACCCAACAGGACAGACACAGACTTCAGAGGATAATTAGGACTGCAGAAAAAAACAATTACTACCAACCTACCTTCCATTGAGGACCAGTATACTGCACGAGTCAAAAAGAGGGCTATGAAAATATTTACACACCCCTCACACCCTGGACATAAACTGTTTCAACTCCTACCCTCTAAATGACGCTATAGAGCACTGCCCACAGTACAACTAGACACAAGAACATTTTTTCCCCAAACACCATCACTCTGCTAAACATATAATTCCCTCAACACTGTCCAACTATTTACTAAGTCTGCATTACTATTACTATTAATCTTCTCATTATTTCTATCCATCTCCTCCTACTTTTGACTGTACGACTGTAACTTTGTTGCTTGCATCTTTATGATTTATATTGACTTATGATTTGATTGCTTATTTGTACCCTATGACTATCATTAAGTGTTGTAACTTATGATTCTTCACGAATATCTTTTCTTTTTACGTACACTGAGAGCATATGCACCAAGACAAATTCCTTGTTTGTCTAATCACACTTGGCCAATAAAGAATTCATTCATTCATCATTCATTCATTCATATGTGTGACCATAGCTACCGTGGTTTGTTCAGCAAACCAAGGCTTAGCATAGTGTGAACTCTGTCACTGAAGTAGGCCTCATTTCCAAAGCAGTAATGCCTCTTGCTCATCAATTTAAAATCTGAAGAGAAACCAATATGCTTCCCCTCCAAATCATTCCAGTAATGTCAAAAAATTGTCTAGAAGACAGATTTTGATCCACTAACTTCACTAAAAGATTGAAGATACAATGGGAAAACTTTTCTTTGAAATGCAGAACAAAAACAAGAGTCAACTCCACATGGGTTGAGCTTCAAAATAGAGCAGACAAATCCCATCATCCTGCCTTTTGTGGCCACTCCTGTCCTCTGACTAGATACTAATTTGTTTGGGCTGGAACTGAGGATGGTAAGAAGTGGATTTTCCAGCTGGGGTTGTCCAAAGAAGGAAATTGCCTGTAGAGATTAAAATGTGACTTTGGGAGGCGCCTTTGGGGGGAAATCTGAAGGTAAAACTTTGTGTGAAGGTAAAACTAGGTAGATGGGCTGCCCAGCGAAGATCCGAGACCAGGAAAAACATTTAAAAACGGTGGAGTCCGAGTTTGGTGGTTTGCTTGCAGACGTTTCATTACCTGACTAGGTAACATCTGATGTTGTTACCTAGTCGGGTAATAAAACGTCCGCCAGCAAACCACCAAGTTCAGGGAGCGTCAAGGCCTCCTCAATGCAACCCTGAGAGGCAGATATTCTCTTCTATTGGGACATTTAAAACGGAGGGTTTCAGCTGCAGATTCAGGAACTGCGCCTGGCTGAGGAGCGCCTTCAAAACCGAGCGCTGGGCGGCGGCGGCCCACGGCTGTCTCCGCGGCTCAGGACAAGTCCCTGCAGGACGGCTGAGAAGCCCCGCCTCTCGGCCCTGCCTTCCTCAGCCTCATCCCTCAGGTGTCTCCCTCCCTTTAACAACTATTCGCCTCTTTTTCTCAGCCGAAGCTGCTCCGAAACTACCAGAAACGAAGGCAGGCAGGCAGGCAGGCAGGCAGAACGGAGCATGGGGATTGAACCGCGGGCGGCTGTGTGGGGGTGAACGGGCGCTTCGGAGGAGCTGCGCCGACAGGAAAAGCCACCCTGCCGGCTTCTTTGAGGCAGTTTCTTCCGAGAAAGCGACTGAGAGAGGAACCGAGGGGGGAGGAAACCGAAGCCACCGCGCCGGAGAGCAGGACAGGCTTTGGTTGCTAGAGGGCCGGCAGGCACTTCGGGGGCCTGGCGGCAATCGGGGGGGCTTATCTGAAACTATGGCTTCCTCCCTCCCCTTCTTTCCTTTGCGTTCCTGATCCCTGATCCCAGCAGCCTTCACCGAAGGCGAAGAAAGCCGCGAGTGAAGTGATTCAGCAGCTTAGCTCATTTCCTCCCCGGCTCCGAAAGCAGAAAGGGACTGAGTTGGGGTGTTTGTGTGTGAACACACCGGCATGTGTTGGCGATCGGGGACCCTGGGCTGCCCTGACCCCTGAGGACTCTAGTGTCCCAAGTCAGCTGGGACTTCGGAGAGCCCCAAGCTGAAGTTTCCTATCTGATACGGAGGAAGCCATGTCCGGAGGGATGAAGTTTAATGGGTACATGAAGGTGCGCATTGGGGAGGCTGTGGGGCTCCAGCCCACCCGCTGGTCACTCCGGCATTCCCTGTTCAAAAAGGGATACCAGCTGCTGGACCCCTACATCACAGTGAGTGTGGACCAGGTACGTGTGGGACAAACCAGCACCAAACAGAAGACTAACAGACCTACTTACAACGAAGAGTTTTCTGCCCCTGTCAATGATGGGCACCAGCTGGAGCTGGCAGTCTTCCATGGCACCCCTATTGGCTACGATGACTTTGTGGCCAATTGCACGGTGCCCTTTCACGACCTGCTTCATGGCACAGGCTCTTCTGACAGCTTTGAAGGATGGGTAAGTAGTTGACTCTCTTCGGGAACTAGAACTCCCATGTACGTCCCCTTGGTCTGATTATGTGGCTTGGGAGGTGAATCGAAGTTATTCTGCAAGGCTGGAGGAAATACCAAACTCTTGTCTTTGGGGAACCTAGAACTTTATTATTGGGATCCATGATTTATCATTCCGTTTCTTCTTCTTAATAATATGAATGTTACCGGAAGTGCATCAAGTCCAATGTGCTTATCTGGATTTGGAGAAGTTCATAAGCATAGGATGATTAATAAGATAGTGCTTTCCTATTTATCATCTGGCATGTGATTTTTCAAAATATATCTTACTAATAACTGCATATATACTTATTATTTATGTAGTTGTCCATTTATTTAATGCTGTTTGCTACTTGGAATCACCCTCTGCATGCCATTAAATTTAATTAATTCTTATTGACAAAATAAATGAAAATGCATACATTTATATAAAAAGGAAATGTACAAAATGTGAACATGGCTCTATAAGAGAAAAAAATGACTGAATTCTCTCTTAGAATGCATTATTCCAAAAATTGTTAGATAATTAACATTTTTCTGTAAACATTGTTTTACAGAATCAAATTCTGTTGATCTCTAACGAATTTGGTAATCTGAATATTTACCTGTATAAGTTTAGAAACTTCTTTTGTTTTTCAAGATTGTACTGTAGGTAGTTGTGGTTGTTTTTTATTTTTCAAGGCCATTTGCAAATTATAGCAATAAATTACATAATCTAATTATGTGTTCCAAGAAGCATATACATTTATTAGTCTTGCTCATATTCCTGCTTATTTCTTGAAGAAAATCTTTTGCTTAGCATTTGCCCACAGAATCAGTCCTTTAATTTCTTCATAGGCCAGTGCATGACTGAAATATGAAATATAGTGTATTTTTATTTTCAACTTTTCAACTTCTTTAGAAACAGGAGTCAAGTCTCTGCAAGACTCTTGAACTTGAATTCACCATGAAATAAATCCAATATTGTTGACTTCTAAGCAGATTCCAGGCTTTCCTCTCCTCTGCCCCATACCTTGTTAAGCAAAGTGGTTATTTAAAATGGTACTTTGCATGATCAAAGAGGCAAGGTAGTATTTGTGTATTGCAGCTACAGATGCACTGATACATTTTGAAGGAAGGACTGCCTACTGATTCTCCCACTAACAGGAAATTAGGAAAGAGGCTAGAAATATCTTGGGAAGTTGTCTAGCAATTAAAATCTTGTGGGGAAGAGACACTCATGGGCCATTCTTTAAAAATCCAAGCATAGTACAATTTGTCATGTAGGAGCCATTGAGATCTATTAAGCAGTGGAACAGCCTGCTTCCTGAAATCATAGGTCCTTCATCACTAAAAGTTTGGGGGCAGTAATTTGTCTGGGGTACTATGAGGATTTTTTCATAAGTCTGGGGGTTGGTCTAGATGTCCTGTAACATTTGACTTAGCCATGAAAGCCAGCTGGATGACTTTGGGCCAGTCACTCTCAGCCAAATCCACCTCAGAGATACGGCTGTAGGGAAAATAGGAGGAGAAAGGTGTGTAGGATAGGTTCACCACCTTAAGTTGTTTATAAAAATAATAAATAATAAATATAATAAATAATAAATATGGAAAATAAACAAATAATAAACAAATTAAGATTACTTCCAATCTAGATTCTAGGACTGAGACTACTGTAGAAATTTCCTCTTCCATCTTTCTTTTCTTTTGTCATATTGATTGAGTTGGAAACCTACAGCCCTCAGTCCTATTTCATAAGCCCATGGCAAACCATTGTGATTCTGGCAAAAATGGGCTAGGATTCTGGCTAGCTGGACTAGGAGAATGAGAGAAAAACAATGGCCATGCCCATTTTTGACATTGGAGAATGTGATCCCCCAAAACGAGTCTTCTGTTCCAACTTTAAATAAAGATGCTCCCTATGATCTGATCACAGTGAAGTTAAGAGGGATTCGCTTCTGCCATTCAAAGGGAAATATTTCTAAATCAGAAATGGCCAACCTCTCTGTGGACCCCAAAGGCCTATCAGTTTTCTCCTCTTTTTTGCTCCATTGCTGAAATCTGCTGAGAGCAAGCTATATATTACAGGAAGATTCCTAAATCAATCATAGATCCTCCTTACAGAGGTTACTGTAATGACTGTGGAAAACTTTGCTAGTTGATAGATTGTAAATTCTAATAAGTAAAGAAAATAACGTTATGAGACTGTAAATGTATACTATCTCTTTTTCATTTACTCCTAGGTCATAGTTCCCAACTAGGTGGCAGTACCCAGGTGATCTGGGCTGATATCAAAAGTTAAGCATTCACAAACCAGTTAGTACATGGGTGGAGGCCATTAGACCCTGGGACTGTGGGCTAGACTGGGGGAAAAGTCAGGTTCATTTAGGTTGTTAACTTTTGGACTTGTTCATGAAGACTTTTGTCTTCATGATTACTAGAAAAAAGATTCAGGCTAAACATTAGGAAGAGTTTGATGAAGTTAACAGTTGTTAAGTCATGAAACTGTCCATATAGTGGTGAATTCCTTCTTGCTGGAGTTTTTCAAATAGGATCTGGATGGCCACCTGTCAGTTAGGGGTTAGAGGATTCCTGCATTGAATGGGGAATTGGACTAGATCAGGGGTCTCCAACCTTGGCAACTTTAAGACTTGTGGACTTCAAGTCCCAGCTTTGCTAACTGAGGAACTCTGGGAGTTGAAGTCCACAAGTCTTAAAGTTGCCACGGTTGCAGAACCTCTGGACTAGATGATCTAAGAGGACTTTTGCAACTTCTACATTCTATAATAGCTATTTCAGGGTTAATTACCTCTGTTCAGCATCCTTGTGTTACCTACACCCTGGATAATTTCTTATTCCAGTTCATGAGTCCTTACCATTTAATGTAATGCGTGTCACAACTGGAGAAGAGGTTTTTTTTTTTCTGAGTGACACGCTCTTATGGAATCCTTTCTCCAGTCTCGGTGCTAATTCTGGCTCTTTTTCTTTCTTCCGATACATGTACCCACATATATACATCTACAGACACACAAATTTCCCCACCACTGGGGATGGCAGAAGTTGTCTTAATTCAGTCTCAGATGAATGTACAAACTCTACATTTTACTGTTGAAATTAACACACATGCTATGAATAAGATCAATGAATCATACTGCAACTACAGCCATAAATGCCAAGGTGTGTAGGGAATAATAGGGAAATTATTCATCAGTTCGGGATGTATAAAATGGAGGGCTTCTTTGCACAGCACACAGTTAATCTTGCAATTTGCCACTATTAGTACTGTGTTTCTCATATAATAAGGCCGGGTCTTATTTTTTTTTGAGCCCCGAAAAAATGGCTAGGCTGTCTTTTTGGGGGTGACTTAATCCCCCCCCCTTGCATCTTCAGGCGGGCGGCAACGGCTTGGATGTTGACCTCGGAGTTGGTGGGGCACTTCGTATCGGGGTCAATGCAGGCAGCACCATATCCGGGTGTGCAACAAAAGTACTTCCTGACGGCAAGCCCCCCCACCATTCCCCCCATTTCGCATGTTTTAATATAGGCCTTAATTTGTGGGGAGGGGCTTAATTTCATTTCATGCCTATAAAACATGCTGGGACTTCCTATTGGGGGAGGCCGTATTGTTGGAGAAACAGGGTAGCAATCTTAGATGCCTTTTCAAAGATAGGTGTCTTGATCTACAATGATCTTTGTTTCCAACTACCTGGTTTGTAGTTAAAGAATTTATAATCCAAGATGTCTACATAAAATCCTAACTTGGAAAAGGCTGGGTTAGATGTTTTGTCAGATGAAAAGGTTTATCAAAGAGCATTTGTCATCCAAACCTAGGGAGAATCCTTTATTTCTGTGTGCTAAGGCAGGAATGCTAGACTTAAACATTAGATGTAGGATGCTAGAGAAGTTGATCTTCATACATGCATACAAATATATTACTAGGTTCTTAAGGAAAATGACAAACACAAATAATAATTTTGAACACAAAACTACAATAATTATGCTTAAAAGACCCAAACATTAAAAAAGAACAATTCTCATGTATATGTTATTTATTTGAAGTATTCATTGTATTGTAACCTGTGTTTTCTGATGAAAGAGTAAGATTTTGGGACTGATCCCAGACTGTATACATTAAAAAAATAAGCTTGATGAAGGTCCACCGGGACAAGTTTTCTACAAGTCCAAATTCCAGTCCTTCTTTCCTGCTTTCTCTCCAACAAGTTGCCTGTTGGTTATATTTATTTGCCGGTAAAACTTTGTTGGTTTAACTTGTATGCCACCCATCTCACTATCCTAAGTGACTCTGGATGGCATAAAAGCTACCTGTGAAAAATATTCAGTCCTGTGAGATGAGGTAGAAGGGTCAATCCAAAGCAGAATAAAGGTAAAGGTTCCCCTCACACATACGTGCTAGTTGTTTCCGGCTCTAGGGGGCGGTGTTCATTTCTGTTACAAAGCCAAAGAATCAGCACTGTCTGAAGACATCTCTATGGTCATGTGGCCGGCATGACTAAACACCGAAGGCGCATGGAACGCTGTTACCTTCCCACCAAAGTGGTCCCTATTTTTCTACTTGCATTTTTTACATGCTTTCGAACTGCTAGGTTGGTAGAAGCTGGGACAAGTAACAGGAGCTCATTCCATTATGTGGCACTAGGGATTCGAACCGCCAAACTTTCTGATCAACAAGCTCAGTGTCTTAGCCACTGAGCTACCACGTCCCCAAAAGCAGAGTGCAGGTCCTTAGTATATGAGCATATTGTTACCAGAGTGCCTATGCTGTTATCATGTATTGTTTCTATATATTAGTATGAAGTTGTGAATTAGTTATGTCTAACACAGCATTTGAAGTATATCAGAGAGGCAGGAGGATTTATTCTGGAAGATTTCAACTGAGGCAGTATGTGAAAAATTCTAGAATGGCAATCTCTAAGAAGACTTAACAATTAATAGTTATGAAAATAAGAGATGGGTCTTACAACAAAACAG